ACACACACACACACACACACACACACACACACACACACACACACACAGTTAACTATGTATAATATAGTATATAGAACAGTATTGATTATGAGAAAAAGCACGTCAAATGTCAAAATAAATTGTTTGATGCTGTAATGGTCGTGGGATCAAACATTTTGTTTTAATGGGGACATTTTTGTAGTTTTATCTTTATTTGGCTACATAGTTTATTATAGACCTAATTATAAATGTTTAACATTTAAACAGCCGAAACTTTAACAATGAAAAAGCCCAAATGTCCATGTGAGGCTTAAAGGTTAATATGTGTAGAACTAGAGGTGTTGTCCAGCAGAGGGCAGCAGAGATCAATAATAACTACAGAGCCCTGATCAGTTGTTATTCGCCATCACCACGCCGCCATCACCACGCCGCCATCACCACGCCGCCATCACGTGTTTCTCACCGCAGGTTTCCACAGCGGTCTCCGGCTGCCAGGTGTTGTCCATCAGGACTGATGCTCAGGACTCTGACGCCAGCTTTCCCATCAGCCCCGGCGGCCTCCCCCCCCTTCTCCCCCTCGGCCTGCAGGTGCTGCGTGTTCTCCCCCACATACAGAATCCTCTGCAGGTCCTGAAACACAAACAGGAAGTTATTCATGAGAGGACGTCTACGAGCTCTGTGGTTTGGTCCTGAGCCTCATTAGTACACTCAAATACTTGTATACTTCTACTCTCGTATACTACTCTCGTACGCTCCTACCCTCGTACACTGGTATACTTTTACTCTTGGATACTAGTTCTCTAGCTGGTCTTACGTCGCTGTAGAGGTTTCCGTGTCCGGTGGGGGGGTCGGTGTGCCACAGTCTGATGGTGTTATCAGAGGAACAGGTGAGGAAAGAGGACGGAGGAAGACACGCCTGAGACACATCGGACAGCTCTGGATACACCTGAGGACAAAGTATACATGTACTAGTATCTACAATCTGAAGTGTTTATATCATGATTCAAGTATTTCCTGTAATATTTGAAGAATTTCTATAATATCTGAAGTATATCTAGTAGTGAAGTAAATATTGAAGTATTTTGATAATGAATGAAGTATTCCCAGCAGTATGTTAAGTATATGTACTATTACTGAAGTACATCTAGTAGTATTTGCAGACGTACCTCGACGCTCCACACACAGCTGCTGTGGTACAGAGCAGAGTAGAGCTTCCAGGCGCTCTTCACATCGTTGACGTCCCAAACGTAAACACTGTGGTCGTTGTACACACTCGTCAGATGACGGGCGGCGGGGTCAAAGGTCACGGCCATTGTGTCAGGGTACCGAGCGCCAAGACTGGCAGGTAACAAGAGACACAGGTATTCACCAGGTGTTCTCCCAATAATTTACCCAGTGTGTTGGTAGTACTTGTACCTGTGCTGTACACTCTGCGTGAGGTCGACCCCCAGGCGGTGAGGGTGGTGCAGAGTGGTGATGTACTGCAGGTTGGATGGACTGAACACTCTGATGACTCCGTCAGCACAACCACAGAAGATGAAGTCCTCGCTGACCGCCAGACAGCTCGCCGCCGACGTCTGTCAACGACAACAACATAGTCTAAATAGCAACGAGCTTTTATTTACTTTACTTGGTTCGGGTGAACTTTCCTGTGTCCCTCACTGACCTTCAGGTTGACCCAGGCCTCCAGGTGTCGGCTGCTGTTGAACAGACACAGCAGACCTGAGCTGGTGATGGAGTAGGTGCTGGACGCCACGAGGCCACGCCCGCACGCCACCCCGCTGAACACACTGTTCTTATGGTCTCCTAGCAACCCTGACCGACCAATCAGAGGCACCGTGCTGTTCACCTGAATATGGGATGAAAAACAGTTAGTTCAGACTACCGATTGGCTGACGAGAGTGTAGGCGAGCAGTGATTGGCTGACGAGATGATGGGTACCCGTCTCTCTTTGGAGGCGTCCAGGTACCAGAACTTGACGTGTCGGTTTCCCGCAGTGACGAAGTAGCTGTTGTCCTGAGAGAACGAGATGGAGGAAACTCTGCTGGACACTTTGTTGGAGGCGATGATCTCACCTTTCTGCTCAAAGGCACAAAGACAGTTAAGGACTCAATATCATCATGATGTACAAAAACAGGTACTGATGTGTGTGTGTGTGTCGCTGTGTGTGTGTGTGTGTGTGTCCTCACCCTCCAGTCCCACACACCAACAGTCATGTCATGCTGGTATCCCACAGACACGATGTAGCAGCTGTTGGTGGAGAACGCCACACAGGAAACTCCGTATTTATGAGACTGAACCTCGGCCACCTGACCACCATCCACCTCCCACACCCGCACACAGGGCATGTGACCGCTCTGAAACACAGACACACTCAGGTATACACACACCTAGAGGCAACAACAGTCTCAGGTGCGTGGGACCCAGCTCCTACCTCACCAGTGACCAGGTGTTTTCCATCATGGGAGAAGGCCAGAGCACTGAACGGTTTCCTGAAACACAAACACGTCTTTACTGCAATCTGTTGAGTTTCTTTGCGGCGCCATACGGCCCTACTTCGCGGCGCTATACGGTCCTTCTTCGCGGCGCTA